TGTTCTGGGATTCCCATTCTTCTCAGAGTCAGCCACAGTTTGTTATGATCTACACAGTCAAATGCCTTTGCATAGTCAATGAAACACACATAGAGACCCTATAAACAGAGTAGAAATGCCCCATAGGATTTCCAAGGCTATAAATCTTATGCAGGCAAACATCCTGACCTTTTTCTGTGGCTGATATGTTAGAATGACTAACTTTATAGTTAGAAGTCCACTACTTAGCCTTTTGTTTCACTGTGGATAAAAGCAAAATGTCATTTGAAAGGTAACAGAAAAGACTAGATAGAAAATGAGTGTCAGAACAGACTCTGAAACTTGCTCTTGTATATAGAGTAGACAAAGTAAAAGGAAGAAATGATGAAGGTAGCTGCACAGATTTCAGAGGACAATGAAAGAAGACAAAGTATTCAGATTAAATTTATAAAGGCCTAGAGTTAGAAAACCAAAAGGGAAGAGAAGGCCTAGCATTCCTCAAGCTGAAAGAACAGATGAATAAATCAAGCCTCAGACTGCAATATTGAGAGATTCTGTGAATCAAATATTGAACAATGCAGAATGAAAAGAAGATGGAAGATGTGCCAAAAAAGAATTGGTCAACATTTAACCATTTGATCAATTATTGCTGGTATTTAGGGAAAAACCCAAGCTGCACTGTAGGCCTTGGTGTAAAACAAACCTTTAAGAATTGACAGGATATCATTTGAGGGTTTTCATCATATGGATACAGTACTGGAAATCAACAATGCCAAAAAGCCACCTAATGAAACTAATGAGAAGAGATTGATATTTGTGTCAATCTTGGAAAAAAATGACTTTACAGAATGCAACAGCTATTGAGAAATATAATTAATATCACATGCAAGTAAAATTATGCAAAAGATAGTGATTAAAATGGTTGCTTTTAACAGTATATCCATAAGGAACTGCCAGAAATCCAAACCGGATTCAGGAGAAGACATGAAATGAGGGATATCATTGTTGATGTCACAGGGATCTGGTTGAAAGCACAGAATATGAGAAGGATGATTGTGGATCGTGACAGGTTATAGGTAACACTGCAAAGAATGGAAATTCCACAACACTTCTTTATGTTCATGCAAAACCTATGCATCTACCACGAAATAGTCATTCAAATAGGAGGGTCTACTGCATGGTTTACTGTCAGAAAAGCTGTGAATTGAGATTGTATCCTTTCATCATACTCATTCCGTCTTTATACTGAGCAAATAATATGAGAAACAAGACAATAGGTGGAAGAATACAGAGAAAGACAAATAACTTTTAATAAGCAGATGACACAATCTTGTTTGCTGAAAGTAATAGGGATTTACATTTAATGATAAGGATCAAAGCCTTCAGTATGGATTACCTCAACATAAAAAAAAAAGAAATAAAAACATTCTCACAACTGGGCCAACAAGCAACATCATAATAAACAGAGAAAACATTGATGTTGTCAGTGATTTCCTTTTACTTGGATCTACAAGAGTGCCCATGGGAGTAGCAGTTAAGAAATCAAATTACATAGTACGTTGGGGAAATCAGCTGCCAAGGACCCAAGCCGTGGTATTTTCAATCACCT